CGCCGGCCTGCTCCACCGTCGGTTTTTACTCGGCCCGTGGTGGTCATCAAATAGTTCGCTGAATTTTTTCGATACATCAATGGATGCTATTTTCTTAACATTACAGTGCGAGCATGCGACTAACACAGAAAACGCGGTTTAAACTGTCGTCGGAGATCGCGGCCGCCGCCATGATTCAATGTTTTTGACAGACGACAGGGCAAACGACGCACGTGCTCAACGTGAATATCGCGAGAGTTTGCACCGATGTAAACCCTCTACACAAAAATGTAGAGGGTCGTTTGAAAAAAATGCCAACCGTAAAGTTTTTTTTCGACGTAGAAATTCTCGGTCGGTCGGGTTACCGGAAACACACTACTTTTTTTTCTTCGCCTTAGTTCGCTCCACCGACATTGAATGAAGGTTAACGTAACAATCGACGATACTGTTTTGGGGCAGCGTCTTCCGCAAATAAGCATTTACTATGCACTGCTGGTGGAGCAACTTTGCACGTTACCTTACAATGTATGCAAATACAGTGTTATGTCCTCGAAAATTTTACCAGATCTTTAAAATTGCATTTGTCCTCTTAATTTTGCATTATTTAATCTTTGATTGAAATATTCTGAATTTTATCTTGAATCAATGTAACTGTTTTTCTTATTTAAAATAGTAAATCATTATAATGATTCAAATTTACTGATATGATACATTGTGAATTTTTTTCCTGCCATGTCACCCAGCACCACGAAGCACGTAATTCTTAAAAAGATCTTTATTTAATCTTTTTTATATATATATATATATATATATATATATAAACCTCGGTTTTCACACACACACACACACACACACACACACCAGATTATTTGACTTTATCATAGTGCTATTGACCTCTTATTAATTAAAAGGTGAATATTACAATAATGTAAAATTATCTATATTTGGCCTTTTTTTCTCTCTCCAGGTCCTTGGTCCTTATTTTGGGTAGTTAAAATAAATGATTGCTCAATAAGAAATATTTATACCACCATATTGCACAGCCCTACAATTACGACAAAGAACAATTCCAAATCCACATAAATTGCAGTAAAATGATAACTGATACTATGTTTGAAACAGGTGGTGATACAGACATACAGTACCTTCTTGGCAGCTACTCCCCCTCTGACCTTTTTAGCTTCAGGTTTATTATCGGCAGTATCTTCACTGACTGCCTGAGACCTGGAGGCTGCAGAAAATATGAAAACATTTGTAAACTACGGAGCAGACCATGTGGGATTTTAGTCATATGCCAACATAAATGTCAATCTGACTTTAAGTGTGAACATGAAAACACATTTCTGAAAGACAAACACCTCAAAGACATCTGAACTTTGAACAAAAGTGTAAGCTTAGTTACAAGTGACTCCATCACCTGTAACATAAAGCTTAAAAACACAGCCACCGTAATGTATATACCCGGAGCCAGAACACCTGACATTGAAGCTAACCTTAGCGAAAGGCTAACAACGCTAGCTACTCTGACAATGTGATACACGTTTGCTCCAACGACACTCGAGACCACAAAGACGAACATGGCTAGGACTTGTGATCTCGCCAGAAAGATGAGTCGGCATCGAGTAATTGTTTCTGACACCTTGCTTGCGAGAGGCAATGATGAGAGGTTTAGCACATTATTCTCACTTAACCGGTGCCTGGTTCGCATTTGTAGCAAACACATTTGTCGATAACTGGCCCTCTTTCTTGGGTCGACCCGACCTGCGCAGGTTCTAGAGCATTTTATATCCAGGCTCCAGTGCTCTGGAATGACCTATCCACGCAATTTACAGCAGCTAGTATATTTCAAATGTTTACACTGTTTCGTCCCTAGATAATGTGCAGCGATACAGTTAAGGAGTGGGACAAACCTCCTCTACTTGTCTCTGATGGGCCTTTAGCTCCTCCAGTTTTGGCAGGAGGTGCAGGTTTAGCTGGCATCACTGCTCTGGCCTTTTCTAACATGGCTAAGACCTGGTCTTTGGAAGACGCCTAATAGGAGGCAAGCATAAACACAGAGTATTGTAGGAAGCACTGTAATGTAATGTTTGGAAACTGTTAAAACTGTTTCATAAAATTTTGCAATTCAAAGACATTTTCCTGTACCTTGAGTTTGCCTGTAGCCTTGTTCATCTTGTCATAGCCAAGGTGCATCATGAATGTGGGGAGAGCATCCTGAGCTTTCTTCCTCACGTCACCATTTCTGTCTTCTAGGCATGCATATAGATTGGGTATGCAACCCATCAGATCCCCCGGCACGGATCTCAGGGTGGGTAACTTGTCGGCTAGCCAGCCTAACAACTTTGAGGGGAAGGAAATTGTTATGTTTTGGAAGATAATTTACACACAACTAATAATGACTTAAAGAACCATATGGCCCTAATTTTCTATCAGGAATTATTACAGAGGGGAACATATTTGGAATGAGATGATTTGTTTTTCTCCCCTTGTCCATTATGTACGTTACTTTCGATGTACCTCCTGGCGTAGGAAGGGATTTTCCTTCTTTAACTCCTCTGATAGCTCCTCGCCTTCCAGCCATTCTTTCATCCCAGTCTGCTCCACCCAGGCTTGCAGAGTGGCCATTGCAGCTGCCCTGACATTGGGCTACAAATAAACATTGTTTACTAAGAGCACATACATGCACAGTCAATGAAATGTTAAGCATGACTGATGCAGACACTTATTAAATGATGCACATGAATATCTTGTGCACTCATCTTATGTACCTTACTGTCTCCAAGCACAGTGATGATGGGGAACCCTAGTGTTTTAACATGCTGTTTGAGTCCAGGCCCCATAGCTGAGGCAAGCTGCTGCAGGATCGTCAGGCTCTGTTGTACCTGGACATACACAATGTCATTTAAATGTGTTGCGTTTATTATTAACTGTTTTGTTAAGCGCTTCGTTATAGCTGCTGCTGTTGTTGTGAAAGCGCTATATAAATCAACTCAACTCAATTCAACTCAACTGTATTTATAGAGCACTTTCAAACAGCCATCGCTGCATACAAAGTGCTGTACATGGAGCAATTTAACATATACAACAAACAGTAAAGCAAATCGGTAATAAAGACGGTAGAAAGCACCGAACAGCAAAACCAAGAACAAATCTAAGTCATGCTGAGTCAAATGCCAAAGAATACAAGTGAGTTTTGAGGCGGGTTTTGAAGATGGGCAGCGAGGAGGCTTGCCGAATGTTCAGTGTATTGTATCTTAATTTCAAAATTGAAACGCCACTTGTGTTAAACTATATCACGTGCCCCCTTGATTGTATTCATAAATTTGTATTACACAGTGCATGATGTTACTCATGGCTAGTGATAAAACCCCAATTCCAATGAAGCCATGGCTGTGTAAGATGTAAATCGAAATAGAATACAATGATTTGAAAATCCATTCAACCCAAATTCAATTGAATACACTACAAAGACGAGATATTGTACTGAATGTTCAAACCGATTTTAAAACTATTTTGGGGGGGGGGGGGGGGGGGTGTCTTGTCATGGCGCAGGGGTTTTTGTGTCCCAATGAGCCTAGGAGCCAAGCTATATGGAGCTTTATCCCCCTGCCCAGGTCACCCATGGCAAAGAGACCCAAGGTGACAGACCAGACAAAGCAAGACTCAAAAGACCCCTTTGAAGATTACAGCTATTGGAAAAGGTTTTCCCTTGCCCGCACGTGGGCGTCTATATGTGCACTTGGCACAAAAACAAGTTCCAGGTGGGACAGTCATATGAACGAACGAAAGCAATTCATCTTCATAAAAAAAAAAAAATGAACCACACATAATTCAGAAACATCTTTAACCTACATTTTCAAACATGAAATATCTGAGATGTGGTATAAAAGTAAACAAAGTACATTTGTCGGTGCTTTGAATGTCTGGGGTTGCCATAGTTGTGTGACACCAAAATGGGGTCTCAAGCTGAAAAAGGCTGGGAACCACAGCTATCTGAGTTTGCATTCCAATGTATTTATTTGGTGAAATAAAATGCCTGTCTTCACAGACCCAATGATTTCAATGAGCATCAAGATTAATATTAACAAACGCATGCAAATTATTTCTGCATAAAATAGGATAGTTATGTTTTTAGTACGAGTTTAAAATGGATTGTTCAATGTCGAATGCGAATTTTATCGGAACATTCCATGTCTGGATGTATTCATTAAAATTTATTTTTTCATCAAAAAGACAAGAGAAAATGTTCAGTGAAAGAATTTGAAATCAAATGGAAATGTTTCTTATCATCTGCTGACAAAAAAAGGTAAAGGGTAAAAAGACAAACTACACCAAAATGTTGACAAAGTAGACGAATAAAATTGTTTTCTTGGACAAAAATAAAGACTAAAATGCTCGACTTACTGCCCAAAAGAATTTGGCTCAATAATAACAGGATGAGGTTAACTAAATGTGATGAACGAAATGAACACTAGTACGGAAGCCCATTTTTATTTACTCTTTACACTTTTCAATCTCATTGGAATTGGAGTTGTAATGTATATGTAGTTGTCATACATTAATCATCAGTTTCTTAAAAGGGTGCTCTGAAATACACTTCAAGGAGAAGTCGAATCCAAAATTTTCTTTACAATATGTTCTATGCGCCTAGTCCAGACACTAGTCGAAACACGGCATTCTAGTTTATATTGCGTTTAATGTGGACTATGAATGAATCAAAAAAATCCACCTGTTTTTTTTTCTCCCTATATCAGAGGGGTGGCCATTATGTCACTTGCTGTCGACTGAAAATGACATCCCAGTGAGCGCCAAAGGGCTCACGTAACGACCGTCACGGCTCACCTGTTTTCTGTGTTTGGTCATGTGACATTCACAAGTTGCGACGTTAGGCACTGTGGTGTCATTTTCAGTCAACATCAAGTGGCTAAATTGCCACCCTTCAAGATGGATAAAAGCAGGGATTTGCTCCCTAATTCATATATACAGTAATCCCTCGTTTATCGCGGTTAATGGGGATCAAAACCACCCGCGACAGACGAAAATCCACGAAGTAGCGACCACCCCCCGTATATGTACATGTGTATGAGTATAAATAATATTTATAAGGCCAAATTTAATGGTAGACATTAGGGTGGTCCATTTTGGAAAAGTTTGTCGGATTCGTCGGGCCGGGTCGGAAATCTTGTCGATACTATGACACAAGGATGTGTGCAAAATTTTATTCCGATCGGATAATTTTATCCCGTCCCGCAGAGCGACCAAAGTTTCCCCTATGGAAAGAATGTTACGGGGCTGAATGGTAGTACGGTTTCTCCCGTACAGTAAGGATTTTGTTTTGCTCAGTTCGCACTTGCAATAATTCAAAGACGGAAGACAGGAACGCATGTATTGCAAAAAAGGCAACCGTGGTTATCCTTCAACACTGGTGAAATTGTTGGTCCATGTTAACTGGTCCATCTGTCTATCTGTCCATCTGTCTATAATGTCCATCAACACTAGTGACACTGTTAGACCGCAAAAAAAA